ATCCTCGTTGTCGCGGTGCCACACCTGCACAGTAACGTACACGGTCATGTTGCGCGGCAGCCCATCCGGTACAGCGCAGGTGATGGTGTCGCCATCGCTGCTCACCGCAGCCTCCGCATAGCACCCGTGCCACGTGCACGACAGCGCGCCAGTGGTCGAATCCTCCACCCAGAACCCGCACGTTGCCCGCGCATGCACGCCATACGATGGATCAATGGCCACAGACACATCAACCGTCTCCGCATCCTCCGCCAACCCGCATGCAGGCTCGACTTCAAACACCCGCGGCACATACTGCGGCCGGCACTCCGGCGCAGGGCACCGAATCTCAAGCACCGCGTAGTCGTACGCCTTCCACTTGGATGGCGACTGGCCCTCGTGCGAGAAGCACTGGTTGTCCTGCTTGTCCTCGTTGTTGGCGTGCCACACCTGCACGGTGATGCGCACAGGCCCGCTCGCCGGCATGCCGTTTGGCACCTCGCAGGTGATGACGTTCCTGTCCACGTCCACCGTCGCCGGCGCATAGCACCCGTGCCACGTGCACTGCCACGAGGAGCCGTCGCTCGTCGGCCGCCAGAACGCGCACGTCGCCCGCGCATCATCACCATACGTTGGGTCAATCCACACGCCAACCTCAACCGTGCTTGCATCCGCGTCCAGCCCACACCCGGGGTTCACCCGGTACACGCGCGGAACCGTGTCGTGCGCGCACACGGGCGCAGGGCAGTTGACAAGAAACACCCCGGAATCATACTCGCTCCAGTGGTACGATGACTGGCCCTCGTGCGAGAAGCACTGGTTGTCCTGCTTGTTGGCGTTGTCCTTGTGCCACACCTGCACCGTTACCCGAACAGGCTCGTTGAGCGGCAGCCCCTCGGGCAGCGTGCACATGATGGTGTCGCCAGCCGCATTCACCGTCGCTGCTGCGTAGCACCCATGCCACGTGCACGACACCCTGTTGTTCGTGTCTGGCAGCCAGAACGCACACGTTGCCCGTGCATCTGCGCCGTATGTCGGGTCGATTGCAACAGACACGTTCACCGTCTGCGCGCCTTCCTCCAGCCCGCACGCAGGCTCAATGCCGTACACGCGCGGCACATACGCATCCGTGCACTCTGGACCAGGGCAGTTGACCGAGAACACGCCAAAGTCAAAGCCGCCCCACGAGTACGACGACTGGCCCTCGTGCGAGAAGCACTCGTTGCGCTGCTTGTTGGCAGTGTTGTCCTTGTGCCACACCTGCACCGTCACGTGCACCTCCTCGTTCGGTGGCAGGCCATCTGGCAGCGTGCATGTGATCACCGTGCCGGCCGCGTTGACGCTGGCCGCTGCGTAGCACCCATGCCACGTGCACGACAGGCGTCCAGTAGCATCAGGCAGCCAGAAGGCGCACGTTGCCCGCGCGTCATCGCCGTATGTCGGGTCAATGGCAACAGAGACGTCGATGGTGGTGGCGTCCTGTGCCAGGTCGCACTCGGGATCAATGCCGTACACGCGCGGCACGTACTCGTCTGTGCACTGCGGAACAGGGCACTTGGCCGTGAACTTGCCATAGTCGTAGTCGCTCCACAGGTACGACGACTGGCCCTCGTGCGAGAAGCACTGGTTGCGCTGCTTGTCTGCGTTGTCCTTGTGCCACACCTGCACCGTCACGAAGATGGACACGTCCTCGGGCACGCTTGGCGGCAGCGTGCACATGATCGTGTCGCCTGCGGCGTCGACTGTTGCCGCTGCATAGCACCCGTGCCACGTGCACGACAGGCGACCATCGGCATTGCGAATCCAGAAGGCGCACGTTGCCCGCGCGTCCTCCCCGTATGTCGGGTCAATCGACACAGACACGTTCACCGTGCTCGGATCGCCAAATGCCACACTCAGGCGACACGTCAAAGATGCGAGGCACGCTCTCGGCCGTGCAAGCAAATCCGGGGGGAGCACATGATGTTTTCTTCGTGAGCAACGCTGAGTTTGAGGATGAACAGAACGGGGAGACGAGGTTCTGGGCGATGGACGGGTACAGTGTTACACGCAGCTTGACCTCGGCGCCATCGGCAAGAATGTCCCACACGTCAGGCAGCTCGCACGTCACGCTCACAAAGCCGTCACGGCTGGAAGGCGCCACCCATCCAAGCGTCATGCATCCGCTGAGTCCACACACGCCGTCTGTGTCATAGAAATGGCAGTACGCGCGCAGCACGCGGTCAGTTGCCTCCCACTGGCTGCCCACATTCACCGTCACCGTGTCCGTGCTCTCCACGCACTGTTGCTTCTCAAAGATGAACGGCTGCTCCGCCGGTGAGCACTCGTCGTGGCAGTCAAGCAGGCAGCTTGCCGCAGATACAAGAGCACTTTGAGCGAATGTGTATCCGGCCACGTAAGATGAACAGCTTGCATAGCATGTGCTGTCGCACTGGCCGTTCCCGTTGGCGTGAGCGTTATACACGCAGTCAAGGGCCTGCTTGCATGCATCATTGCTGTTGCACTCCTGAATCTGAGC